TCGCTTTCCACGAGGGTGAGTGCCATTGGATGGCGTGGTCCGTCGCGGCAACTGACACCTTTCCCAGTGCTGACCCAGGAGTGCCGACACGGTTACGAGAATGGTGACTGTATCCAGCTGACCATCGTGCATCCGTCGTTTGCCAGTACCCCAATCCTGAGGGGCCACGAAGGGGAGCTTCGCAAGATGGGCGCTTCGGTCATGGACCCAAGGGTGGTGGCAGACGCAGTGATCAACCAGGTCTTTAGTGGGCGCTCTGGAAGACTGATCGTTCCATCAAGCTTCAGCCTGTTATCTTTCATTCGCGGCTGGCCGATTTGGCTCCAGGAAATATTCCGCAATCATCTTTCGCGGAACATGATGAGGTTCCGGAAAAGTGTGGGTGCATGACCCAGTATCTTAGAAAAGCTCAAAAGTACGGGACAGCTCCCTTTTCCTTGGGACGTGCATGACGGATGATTTGGATTCTTGCACATATGGCGTGACCCAAGCGGTATACATGGGGCTTTCATCTTATGAGTCTTTGATTCCGCAGCATTCTGAGGCGGAAGTGCCACTACCACACTACCACTACCCTACCATGTGTACCTGAAGTCTGCCGATCCTTCGATAAGTCTCTTACCAGCGTCTGCCTGTCGGTGGACCCACAAACATGCTGTCGAAAGACGAGAGCCGAATAAATGCCTCCAAGAGCGGCCATAATGACTTGGATAACTGAGGTGACACACTTCCTCGCGTCGCTTCCGGCATTATTCTGACCCCAGGCGAGAACAAGTGACAATCAGCCCACTCGTGCGACTAACACCGACGAAGGAACCGACATGGCGAGGCCCACAATGGCCAACGTACTTGTACAGTAGCACAAGAATGGACCTCGAACACGGTACTTGTCCGACACAGCCACGAGACACCAAGCGTATATACAACGGCAAAGGGCCGAAGGCGGGCCACTCAGAATAAATGCAAGCTCCATAGAGTATCCCAGTCCTCTGTGTAAAATTGATTAGATGGAAAAAGAGGAAGCTATAAGTGCCGCTAAAAAAAAAGAGTACCACTGTCACTCTTTAAACATGGAACACGAATGGTCTCGAGACTAACATGCTCCACACTTGCCAATCAGGGGGAGGGCAAGAGTGGGGCTCCACAGAAAAGGTAACTCTGGGGTATTATTACATGGCGGCATGGCGGAGAGGGCGGCATCTCGGTTCATCGGCTCTGCATCGCCTGGTCGGTAAACAGAATCCTTGTCCATGTAACCGGCTATTACCGGTTCCTACTCGGCGCTCATCGCTAGACAGAGTCACGGAGGTGGTTCGTATGAGCCTTGAAAAAGAATGTCGTTGTTGAGAAAATGGTGCCAGAGCTCCCTCTCCACAAGTTTGAATGACCAAAATTCCGCTCAATCTCAAACTTGATTCTTGCTTTATCTTTTCTCCATTCACAAGATGGCTTCTCCCAAGGTCGATTGGCTTGTCTTGATTCCTGACACTGAAGGCGCTTTGGAGAAGCGACTGAAGGCAAGGCCGTAAGGTTCAGAGACTTGCCGCGCAAGAATTATAGCTGACGATGAGAAGTGAACATATGGATGGTCTCAAGCCACGTGTTGACAGCGGAGCCTGGGTGCTGGGAGGTAGGTTCTGTCTTTACGTGTAAGGTGATATCTCAAACGGAAGAACTCATCTGTTTCTAGGAGCAACCTTGAGCACTCCGCCACGCGACGGTGAGGATAAAAAGTATACCGGCAGTTGCATTGTGGCCAGAGCCTCGTCTCGTGAAGAGGTCCTCGAAGAGATCCGCAAGGATATTTACACGAAAGAAGGAGTCTGGAATCTCGAGAAGGTTTGCGAATCTCTTTGAAAGGCGTTCTTTCGTATCCTTGCTGCTGACTTACCCGTCGAAAAAGATCCAAATTCATCCAGTAAGTCATCGAGGCGTACTTCGGAAGCATCTGTTGACTTGTCTTGTAGTTGGCAACCGCTTTCCGTACAGCCTTGTAGAACAAGGTGTTGGTGAAAATACCAGGTGCATTAGTCTATACAAATCAGAAACGCTTCGAGTCCGTAGTTACTGGCAGAAAATGTGATGTTGTGTCAATAGTGCTAGATCAGTGGCACTTGAGTCTCATCCCATATCTCCTGGACTGTAGTTCGGGTCCCTGGGCATTGCCCCGTACATCACAACACGTAACAGGTTGGTTTGTGCGTAGAAGCCATCTCCTCGTACAATACATGTCCATTTTCTAGCAGACTCGTGATGCCACTCCCCATGGCGCATTAGCGATTTCCGGCCAACTAATAACGGGCCTGAGCCGGTGGCTCAGCAAAGCCATCCAAGGGGTGGAATCATTCTTGCCGAGGCGCGGTTAGCAAACAGCCAGTTCTTTAACATGGCTATGGGTACCACGGCTGGTGTGTCACCCCCGACACGACATATCCCAAAAATCGCACTGAATCTGATAAAAATCAACTTGGACGGTGCGTACCTATCCCACCAAGTTCTAAGTCCCGTTCTTTAACCGCATATCCTAACTATTGTCAACATTGAGCCCATCAATCATGAAACTCTTCGATGTTCCCGCAGGCGCTTGTGCTGATATCAGCATCATCGACTCGACGACGAGAATCAATAAACTCCCCACGGAGTTTCTGATGAGGCCACCGCTCGAGGGTATGCCTTTCATGCCGGAGGTTCCAACTTGGTCGTTCTTGATTGAGAGCGCTACCGGCCGCAAGGCTCTTTTTGATCTCGGGGTACCGCCAAACTGGAGGGACTTCGCACCCCCAATTTCAGACAACCTGAAGAACCGTAGCTGGGATATTCAGTCAGAGAAGCATGTGGCCGATATCCTCAAAGAGCACCAGATTGAACCTGCGTCCATCAATCACGTTATCTGGAGGTAAGATACAACGGGCTACACCGCGCTACCGAGGGTATCTCCTACGTGGCTGACTGGCCGCGCTTTAGTCATTGGCATTGGGATCACCTGGGTGATCCATCGACATTTCCTCCGAGCACGGAGCTCATCGTAGGACCTGGATTCAAGGCTGCTTTCTGGCCTGGCTGGCCTACAAAAGTCGACGCTCCTGTCAGAGAGACTGACTTCGCGTAAGTCCACTACCACTCTACTGTACTGAATGTATTGTTCATGGTGATCTTACTGAATATTCGGGGTCAATAGTGGCCGGGAGGTCCGTGAAATCAACTTTGGCGAAGGCCAGGGGCTCCAAATTGGGAAGTTTAAAGCATTGGATCTATTCGAAGACGGGTCATTTTATCTTCTCGACACACCAGGTCATGCAGTCGGCCATCTTAGTGGACTAGTGCGGACAACTCAAGATCCAGACACGTTCATCTTTCTTGGAGGCGACTTGTGTCACAACGGGGGAGAGATTCGCCCGTCCGAATACATCCCTCTCCCCGGGGAAATCCACGTCGAGATCCCCTCTCATCTCGGCACCGTCATCTGTCCCGGCGCAGAACTTGAGGCGTTGAACGACAAACGAGGCCGCGGCCCAAAGCAGCCATTCTTTGAGCCCTCGATGGGTCTTTCCATTGAAGAAGCAATCAAGACTATCACGAAAGCTCAGGAATTCGACGCCGACGACAACGTATTGTTCCTCTACGCTCACTCTGGGGCGGTCAGGTCCCACGCTGAGCTCTTTCCGGCCAAAGCGAATAATTGGAAGGAGAAAGGATGGCGTGAAAAGATGTTTTGGGACTTTTTGAAAGATTTTCAGGTGGCTTTGCAAGGCATGAAAACTGCTATATAAACCTGTGGAGACGACGCGCCGAGAGCCTGATGCCCACTCGTAGACATTATGTGAACTATGAAAATCAGCTCTTTCGTGTCTGCCATCGTCTCCTACCTCATGCGCTTACACAGGGATCGGAGAGTATCTCCTTCTCAACGTCCAAAGCCGGGATTTTGTGGCCGCCTGACTTGAGAACTATGAAATGTTTGAGTCAGTAGATCATTTGCGTGCCGGAGAACTTTGAGCAGTCCAGGCTTTCTTTCCCAGTGAGAAAGTTCTCAGCCATGCTCTGGGTGAAAGTTTTCACACTCAAGAATGGTCCAGAACTGAGTCTCTTCTCCCACCCCGGCAAAGCGGTTAGTCGGCAACAAGGCTAGGGGTAAGTGTGACTCTGCTCGAATCACGGTTATCAGGGTGTACTCGCGTCCGGTAGTCGGTTCAATCGTCTGGAGCGGCACCAGCAGGCAAGATTGCCAATGCACAGCACTTGTATCAGAGACCGCCCACTCTTTCTGCTTGCCAGATGGCTGCTGCCATACTCACCAGGGTCCTTACTGGTCCATTTTTGTCTGGGTCATGCACTCCGGCTCATTCGGCCATGTGGAAAGAGTTTCAGGGGATGAGGGATGGGAGCAAGCCCAAACACCCCCGCGTCGTGGACATTGCTACCCCCAGAGGAGACTTAACCGACAATTTGCACTTCCCGCGTTCCGTAACCTAGCTTCTGAATCATTTTCCTGTTGAGAACCGAGCAAGACTAGTAAGTTCTTTTTTTTTTCGGTCAAAGGCATCGGTGGAGACAAGATTGTTGGACAAATGGACAATCCCCCGTCGCGCTCATCGCTCGTAAGGGACACGAGTAACGGCAACGATGATTCCCTGGGCCATACGGGCAGCACTCCTGCGCGGATAAAGCCGCGACGTGCTGCAAATGGTGAGTCGTCCACAGTGCAAGCAAAGAGGGTCTCCTGTACTGAGACAGTTTCTCACCAGCTTGTCTTTGGTGTCGCTCTCGAAAAGTGAGATGCAACGCCGTCACTCGTTTCCCCGACCGGTGCAACAACTGCGTGCTTGATGAGCAAGAGTGTATCGTCAACGAGAGGAGGTAAATAAGGAGTTAGTCCATGATATGAGACTGCAATGTTAATATTAAGAAACCATGCTAGACGTCCTCGCAAGTCCAGCAGTTTGGCTGGCGTAGGCCCGAGGCAGCATGGCTCTCTTCAGGAGCAAATCTTGGATTTGGACATGGCCAACGTCAGCACTGACTGTTTTCTCGACCTGGTGAATCACACCTCACCGAACAGGCAAATTTGGCAGGTCGAGAGCTCCCAGGACGTTTCCAACCGGCAGTCAGAGCAATCTCTGGCTATGCTGGATATTTCGGGTCCTCTACCAGAACTCAACACCGATCCAGCCTTCGAAAATTCCTTGTCCACCTTTTCGACCCATCAGCCAGTCTCTAGCGAAGACACTAACCCTCTCCAGGGCTCTGACCCATCTCCCTCTGGAATCTTTGTCTCTAGTTCAGACGTGAACACGGCCAGACACTACTGCTGCGACTCAAGAAGGGCCTCAATCCCCTTTTGGATTGCCGCGTGGTGTTTATGTGGCAAGCCCTCCCACACAACGGTGTCTGTGGCTGAAGCACACGCATTGTCTGTTCCTCCCCTTGCAACTATCGAGCTCCTGCTTGGCTACTACTTTAGCTACAGCTACTGGGCGTCCCCAATTGCAAGTGAATGGGAGATTTGGGCCCTCCTTCATCCCCAAGAAGTAACATGGGCAGAGGAACAACGTCCAATGAGCTTGGCATACCTCAATGCTCTCCTTTTCGCTGGTAGTGCACATGCCACGGAAGAGGAATCCAAAGCCGCATCCTTTGCCAGTGTTCGCAAGATGCGGGATACCTTTTACCAGCGCGCCAAAGTGAGTGACAATTTTTCGACATCAACGTACATCTCCCACTGAGATCGTTCCTACGCATTTAGGTCCTGTACGAAGCAGACTGTGAAAATGATGACTTGAGTCGGGTACGATGCTGTTTGTTGCTGAGTTCTCAGCGAAAATACCCAGACGCTATGTTTGAGAACGAGTACTGGATTTTGAAGGCCCACGATATACTTCAACAAGCAATCTTCTCGCCAGATTCTGCATCACCATGCCAACAGCAACGCATTGGAGCGCAATGGAAACGCCTGAGGGCTATTTTCTCTACGAGGATTGGATACATCAGACTTGGGAACCGCTCCAACGGCGTACCAAAGCTTCAGGACGTTGTCCCTCGGCTTTCGGTGGAAGATCTGGAAGAAGACCTTCGGTTCTCTTGGTTTGTCAGTTGCGAACTGAAACAAAAGCTGATTCAGGTGCTCCTGGCATCGTGCGAGCTCACCGCAGACTCTGAGCCTCTGTGTAGACTTCTTACCTGGCGGAGCGCCCTGGCACAGACCGTGACTCTGTCATCTGGCTATAGTAATCACCCGTTGATGGGAGACGCAGAGCGAATCGAGCAGCTACTGGGCGATTGGAAATCGCGTCACCAAAGATTACTCATGGCCGACGCTGTGGATGACATTTCGACGAATCCTCTTAAATTCCCACTGTTTGTGTCTCAAGCGATGTTGAGGTTATTGTTCGAGTAAGCTCCCTTGTTGCTTCCCTTGTGACGTTTCCTGACCCAAACTTGGAAGATATGTCGTTTCAGCCCTCCACAGAGCCTTAAGTTCGGCCGAAAATTCCCATCTAAGCTCGTGGGTGGCGAAGATATGCGAAATATCACACCAAACTCTCAAGGAATCGGCGTTGAGAACAACACATGTGATTTCAGACGTTCTAAAGCGCAAAGCCATGCGATTTTTGAACACACACGCGTAAGATGGTCATCACGATTCCTTTCCTGGCACACCGGTCTAATGCCATTTTTCAGGGTCATATGTCTATCAGTACCATTGACGATGAATTACCTGACGATAAAAACTTCCATGCAATGCTCACCTCAGGCCGTCCACGACCTATCTACTTGTCTTCAAGCAATGGACGAATTAGCGCTTCGATTTGACGTTGTCGACTTCTTCCGGGCTTTGAATGATCAATCACTGGCACTGGCTCATCAGATCTTGGCCAAAGAGCTCCCAGCGGCCAAGAGCAACAACTTTGTCAACTTGTTTGCGGTCGCTCCAGTTGACGTATCCAACCAGCCCGACGACCAGATGGGCAAGGACGTTTACAAAATAGTGTCCAGATTCCAGGAGCATGCTTTGGCACGCGGATGTGTCGAAAGGAGCTAGTTCTTGCTGTCGATCCATTCCTGATCTCTCACGTCTGCGATGAGCGAGACATGAAATGAAGATAAATGGTGTCTGATACCCATCAATGGGAAAGTGGGGACTCGCTGCACGCACCTGTCTCTGGTAATCAGCCAAGCAGGTTTGGAATAATCCCGCTCTCATTGCTGGACGACATTCAATGTTCGTTATCAAGAGGGACCTGAATTCGTCATCCACCCTCTGACATCGTGGTTCTTTGGTCCAATATGACTGAAGACCCACCCCCAAGAGGGAGGTCGAACACCTGGTTGCGGGGGAATAATCATGTCCTGGTCTGCCGAGGTACGAGTAATTACATAAAAGGCTTAGTACACTACTACTGCTCTTCCGAGCATCCCAAATGATTTTTGAGCTGGTGTGGGGCATCTCTCCTGCGTGACAATCGGCGTAGCCTGTGGCTCCATCATCACCCTGGCGGCCCTTATATGCCTATCAAATGATAGCCGCTTCGCTGCTCGTCAATTCAGCCATGACTGGTTGTCTGCCAAGCTATCTGATCAACTTCACAACGAACGTCAACATTCCTGACACTGTAGACCTGCCACCACCACATTCTCAAACATTGGGCGGACAGGCACGGCGCGACACACCCACAGGGTCGCAAGAGGCGTCCTAAGATCGACGTACACGTTGGCGTAAAGATGGGCGGAGACCAGCCCCCCCGAGAACGAGCACGAATAGTCTGCAAAGCCTGCCACATGCGAAAGGTCAGTGTCAAGTCGTAATGGCGCGTCGAGATTGGTGAGGGGCTAAGCTGATGGACGAAGGTCAAATGTAATCTTGGAGAGTCGCGGCCTAGTAGCTGTCACAACTGTGTTCGCAACAACGAGACTTGTGAGCCTCGAGAAAGTGCTCGAAGAAAGAAACGGAGGCTGGCTCCTGTGCCCGACAATCCCTCCATGCGCTCGGATGCCCAATTGCCATCACCTGGATTGTATGAGATCCGGGGGCCAGACAGGCCACACAATGCTGCACCTCTTCCTGACGAGGCTACGACGTCAGCCTCCACCGAGACGCCGAGTCGCACTGGCTTCGTTGGTGACCAGTCTCACCTGGCCGTGGAGTCATGTGCGAAAACTCAGGTTGACGCTCTTGAGGCACATATTTCTGAATTGCCAAACAGCCTAGACGAATTCACGCAAAACATCCTCAGGGCCAGCGAAGCCTTGGTCCTTCCCGGAGATTCCATCATTCGAGCAATGCACGACTTGTATCGCGATCACGCCTTTCATCGGCTGCCGGTCATTGGAGAGACGGACTTATTGTCTCCTGGCCACCGATCAACTTTGCTCTGTCTGGCGGTTCTCGTGGTAGGGTCTCTCCTTCGACATCCTCACAACAACAAAACGCCCGGTACGCTCGCGTTCCCATATTACCGAAACGCCAAGTTACTTCTCAACCTCGAGGTCGAGCCTGACAATCTCAACAGGCTGAAAGCCATGTGCCTTCTTAGCTCTTGGAGCATGTGCACACCAAGTAAGGTCACCTTGGACAGCCCGTGGCACTGGAATGGAGTTTCATTGAGGTTGGCCATCCAGATGGGTCTACACCGTCGTACGACATACAGTGGCAGATCTGACACCGGCGTTAGTCGACGAGTATGGTGGACAATCTATGTGAGTTACTCGCCAGATCACTGTCGCTTTACAGCTGACACCTAAGCAGGGAAATAATGTGCTGCAAGCCGTATGCTTTGGACGTCCTCTGCCAATTAGACCCGAGGATTTTGACATCGAGCTACCCAAGCTGGAAGACTTTCAGACTTTGAATGATCCTGCCCTATGCTTCATTGAGTTCTCCAAGCTTGTGGTGATCATGGCGAGCATCGTGGAAGCAAGCATAAAGCGACGCCATCGAAGTCACTTTGATGTCACAGACATTGTCACTAACCTTCAAGCGTGGGTCCGAGAGCTAAATCCACGGTTCAAGCTCCAAGATCAAGGTAGGAGACTGCAGTACTCTCGCCCAGGCTCGGAACTACATATCATGTATTGCGTTTGCGTCATTCTTTTTTTGAGTCTACCTGGGAATCTGCATCAGAAGACTGTTGCAGACCAGGGGAAACTTCTTGCAGCCTCCTGCATTGCTCGCCTCTACGAAGAAATGGGACATCGAGACGATATCAATTTCCTGCTCCCAATTCATGACTATTTCGCGATGGTGGCGGGAGCCCAATTGATTGCGGCGCTACGGCTACCTTCGACGCAATCGGACAGGCTACGGGAAGAGCTGGGCATCATCAAAGACAGCATGTTAGCGACTATGAGTCTGAAATGGCCTGGAGCGAAGGCTGTATTGATTCGTCTACAGTACCTCGAGCAGAATGTGGCTTCCGCCATCTGTCCAGAGACAAGGTCGAACGATGTAATGGGGCATCGGGAGCCTGAACGTCCTATTCAAGGAAGCCACCTCTCCAACCACATCCTGCAGTCGTTGCTCCCTTTCTCTAACCTCTTTTGTGGGGTTCAACTACCGACCAGCAATGTTTCCGTGTTTCCCAGCTTGGCCGGACAAGCTGATCATCCAAATCCAAACATCTTTGACATGGTCACTCCATGGATCCTGAATGACGAGTGCCTTGACATGGACGCTTTCGACTGTACGACTTGGGTCAATTTTGACAATCTAACGTCTCTTGATCACATTTAATCATCAATGCTGCCGAGCAGAAATCCCGGATATCGACCAAGGAACTTTTGCAATCGGCCACCATTGAACTTGTCAACAAGATGACATGAGATCGCCGTTGTTGACGAGACTTGGACGTACCGAACGCAGCTTCGCAGAAAGCAGGAAGCACTTTTGTCATGCATCCATGTATTGCAAGGCTCTACTTTTCCTTAGCTGCGATTCGTTGCGCAAACTCACTGGGGAGGCACACAAGAGATGGGAGGCGGAGTAGCTGTTGCGGTCGAAACGGGGGGCATCGACACCACCAGCCACGACATCAAACTTTTGATTTGCTACATGAGATTGATGTTCTTCAAATGCTTCCTTATGGTCCGTATCATGTTCAAACCACTGGCGCTAGCGCTAATAATGATCGCTCGTACATGGGCAGAGGTGCCCAGCGGCTGCTCCGAGATGCCCTTCCGACTTGGCCGTTGACGTGGTGGATATATCGTGCAACACTTGGTGGTTTTCACGAAGTGATAGCCATGGCTTCAGCTTCACATGGCGGACTGGCTAGAATTTGAACCACCACTTTGCAGGCGTGAGCTTACTAAATACCGGGGTACGGTCCTCGCATGTAGCCTTGGTCGGTTGTCGTTGGAGGAAAACCGGTCCCGTCGACAATGCAGTTGAGCCAGTCTGCGTGCTCGATTCACTTCGGCTTGCTTTGCAGTTTTTTTGAAAGAGCCGACTGCCGAGATTTAGGCGGCTCGGTCATGGTCGCTCGAGAAGCTGTTACCCAAATGGCTACCTGCAAACAACTGCATGTAGGGCTCGGGTTATCCCTGGTAGTGGCCAGCTTCCAGTAAGGATGATCACGATTAGCACACTTCTTCCGTGGGACGCAATGCTGCTCTTTCCCACTGAGATAGGAGAAGGTTCAAACCAAGCTCATCATGTATGCTGTTTGTATATTAGAGACACATCTTGTTCAGATATCGAGCAGGGTCTCTAGATAATAGTCGAAGTGTTCGTAGTCGGCAATCCCTCGCGCAGCAGCCAGAGGGTGCCTTGTCGTGTACGAAGACTCCCCGTATTCCCTGTCGGTAAGAGCAACAGTTCCTCTGCCGCCCTGCCCACCATCTATTTCGGCCCGAGTCTGGAGGCTTAATCACCGCTCTGGGAAGCGTCGAAACTTTGGTTGGTACATATATGTTAGGTGTTTGGAAGTTTGGGTCTTGATCTCTATCTTTATAGCGGCACATCAACAAAGAAGCTGTGAGCCATCGAAGATGGGCCTGACCGACTTTCAGCGCGTTGGTCTTATCGGCCTTGGGGCAATGGGATATCCTATGGCCCAAAATCTGGCAAGAAATCTTCCAGTTGAAACTAAGCTCGTTGTCTTCGACATCTCATCGCCTGCGGTGGAAAAGATTGCAGGAGAATTTCCTGAAAAGGTGGAAAGGGGGAATAGTGCCAGGGAAGTTTTCAGCAGATCGGTAAGATTAACTGACTCCGAGCCAGGCGATGGTTGAGGAGCTGAAAAAAAGATCCCCCTTAGGATGCAGTCATCACAATGCTTCCGGAAGGCCATCATGTAAGATCAGTCTATACGGGACCTGACGTCCATCTCGATTCCGAGTGTCTCGAGGGCAAGATCTTGATCGACAGCTCGACCATCGATGTCGACAGCAGTCTCGCTGTCCGAGATTATTTGAAGGGAGTCGCGCCAACTGCGTCATTTTATGCAGCACCGGTCAGTGGAGGAGTCTATGGGGCGTCTGCTGGCACACTTGCGTTCTACGTCGGCATCACAGACTCTGATGGCAACTTTGAGACCGTAAAGGAATTACTTTGTTGCATGGGCGACAAGGACAAAATCATTCCCTGCGGATATCCCGCATCAGGGCTGGTTGCAAAAATCTGCAACAACTACCTTTCTGGCGTTATGAACATTGCAGCGTGTGAAGCAATGCACCTGGGCGTGAGTGCCGGACTTGATCCTAAAGTCCTGCATCGTGTCATCTGTGCAGGAGCAGCCAGGAATGGCATTATCGAGCGAAGTCAGCCTGTGCCGGGCATAGTCCCAACTGCTCCGTCCACCAGAGGCTATTCTCCAGGCTTCAAGGCAAGCCTTATGGCGAAAGATGTTGCCCTGGCGGTGAAGCTAGGTGAGACATCAAAGGCTAATTTGGTTCTTGGATCAACCGCCTTGTCCACTTATCAAAGCGTGCTGCCCGAGTCCGGAGATCTCGATTTCACGGTCTTGTATCGGCATATTGTAAGGGGGGCGTCACACCAGCAGGAGACAAATGGAAGCTAGCGACCGACCCTCGGAATGCGACAGG